CACACACACACACACACACACTAAAACAAAAAATAAATCACAAACCAAATCAAAAATAAAACCAAAGTTTAAAAAAAACAACAGGAAAACAAAAAACCCCCCATAAACCCCAAACCAAAACCCCCAGCAATCAGCTTCGGATCAACAAAGTCCACTCGCTTACGTGGGTTGTTTGTCAACGTTCCACTGATCGGGCGAGGGGCGGCGGGCACAGCGGAGGTGTTTGTTATCTCCTTCAGGACGTAGCAGAATACATGTTGCACGAGGATGGTTGGCGGGTGCCCTGGTGTGGTTTGCTTCTTTTACTTCTTCTTTCCGATCAAACATCTATCGTCCTTATCTCCCCTTCTCCTTTTTTATGTTTGTTACTCTCTTGTAACACCTCTAATCTTCTGGCGCTCATATGGCCTTATGCAGTTGCGAGCGCCGTAAAACCTCTATCAAAACTAAAAACTAAACATGCTGCCCGACAGCAGACCCAAGACCATGTTGTGGCGTATTAGTTTTAGTTTTTGTAAGTGTTTTATGGCACTTGCAACACAATAAGGTCATACAAGTGCCGAAGATTAGAGGTGTTACAAGAGAGTAACACGCACAAAAAAGGAGGAGAGATAGTGTTTTGTTTTAGTAGAGGACTAAAGCCATCGTGCTGCAGTTTCAGTTATAGGCTTGGTAAACAGAAGCACGGGACAAGACAACGGTTGTTTGGTTTGGTTTAGTTTTTAAGTAAAACAAAAAGAAGAAGGAGAGAAAGGGACGAGGAGAGATAAGGACGATGGGCGCTAGATAGGACAGAAGGGGCAAGCCACACCAGAGTGCCCACCAACCATCCAGTAGAGCGTTGAACTCAAAATAAAAACAGAACAAAACATTCCAAACAAATTACACAAAACAAAAGCGAAAGAAAAAAATATCTACAAAATTACACAAAAACAAAAAGAAAATTCACACAAAAATAAACCCCAAAAATTACGAAAGTGGCACAAGTAACGAGAACAATGTTTTTAAAAAAATTCACACACACACCCACAGAGAGAGAGAGAGAGAGAGAGAGAGAGAGAGAGAGAGAGAGAG